TGACAGAAATGTTTAAAAAGTGTTGGGTTTCCTACGAATCCGCAAGAGCGCGCGGGATGAAATTTTGACATTTTTTTTGAAAAACCATTGGTTTTTTGATGTTTTTATGTTAAAATCGCTACGAAAACTAAGGTTTTGGAAGGATTTCGTCTTGCGCGCGCGAATGTCCACTTTACCTTATTTTTTGCAAGGGATTCTTGAAATTTGATTATATTAGAACAAGAAATGTCATTTTATAGTGTTTTTTGCAAGGGAAAACGGATTACAACAAAACAGCCGGATCTGGATCACATCGTTTTACCTGAGGCTTCCTCACGAAAATGATGAAAACGTGGCTGCGGCCTAGGCGCGGCGGGGGGGGCGTGCACCAGGGGGCCCAACAATAATTATTCTTTAGAAGTAATAATATTCAACAACACCAACAACACCAACACCAACACCAGCACCACCACCAACAACAACACTCATGTTGTGACTGTCCGCTCCTATCTGCTCACATGCCAATCAATACGTATATCCCAAACCCTCGGTACCCGCCCTCGTCGTCTTCGATCGTACCCCCTTGGGGGTAGATCTTCCTTACCTGCCACGTGTATTTAATGCAGCCCCTTAAACAAGGGAAGAGAGGACGGGTGAAAGGGGGAGTGGAAAGAATGGAGCACGAGACAAATTAGCAGGAGGGGGGCAAGGAGCAGAAAACAAGTGGTAGAACCAAACGGGCAGATCGGGTGGGCAGACCCATAGCGGGCAGGTCGGGAAGGCGGGCCCAAGCGACGAGGTCGAGCAGGCTTGTTGCTGAAGCATGGGTCCTGCATGAATCGCGATGAAAGCTCGAGCGATAACGCGTTTCCCGCGTAAATCGTTGGAAAAACCAGCGTGGGCCACGAAGGGCATAACATCCGAGGCCACGAAGGGCAGCGACGGGGCCGCTGAAGGCAGCACCAGGGCCACGAAGGGCAGCGAGGGGGCCACAAAGGGCGACAGCGGGGCCACGAAGGGCATGCACATGGGGCCACGACGGAAGCGAGCGGGGGCCACGAAGGGCATTCGCATACGGGGCCACGAAGGGCGACAGCAGGGCCATTGAGGGCAGCAAAGGGGCCAAAAAGGGCAGCGAGGGGGCCACGAAGGGCGACAGCGGGGCTACGAACGGCATGCGTATGGGGCCACGACGGGCGCGTACGAGCGGGGGCCACGAAGGGCATTTAATGCGGGGCCATGACGGGGCCACTGAGGGCACTAACGGGGCCACGAAGGTCAGCGAGCGAAGGCGAACGCGGAACCAGTACGGGCAGCGAGGGGCATCGAAGGCGGGCGAAGGGCAACGAACGGCGACTGCAGTCATTAACGGGTTGGTCGGGCGGGTAGGCCCCGACGGGCGGGTCGAGCGGGCGGGTCGTTGAAGCGTGAATCCTGCTTGAACCACGAGGCAATATGCAGCGGGGGCGCGATTCCTGAGTGTCGAGGACCGGCATCTAAATAGATTGTGAGAAAAAAATCAAGCGAAGTGGCTCGGTGGTAATTTGCGAGGAAGTCCCAAGCGAGAACGCGATTCGATAATACCATTAAATCGCCAGGAAGTTTCAGGCGGGAGCCGCGGCTCGGTGGTAAATTGCCAGGAAGTCCAAAGCGAGAGCGCGATTCTTCAATACATTGTGAAGAGGTCTTTGTTGTTGTAGTCCAAGGGAGCAACAACGCAGTTTGACCCGGACTGAATTGTGAGGACGTCTCAAGCGGGAGCGCCGTTCCTGAGTAAATCGGGAGAAAGTTTCAGACGGGAGGGGGGGTCCTGAGTAAATTTGGAGGAAGTCTCAGGCGGGAGCCATTGTTGTTGTAGTCCGGGGGGCCAGGGGCACAGTTTGATATCCAAGACTTTCCCTGTCCAAAAACGGGGTGCGAGCGTCGAGGGGCACACTTTGACTGAGAAAAAACAGCATGCACCGGTGAGGGGGGACCAGCCATAATTATTTCTTCTTCAGAAATGAGAGTTCACCAACAACATCACCAACAACAACAACAACATCATCATCATCATCACCATCATCATCATCATCATCATCATCATCATAATCGTCATCATCAACAACAGCAAGCAGAAATTTATGACTGTTCGCCCTTATATGCTCGAGTGTCCAATAACGCGTATTTCCCAAACCCTCGATACCCGCCCACTTCGTCTTCGATCGAACCCCTTTTGGGGGGTATACCTTTCTTCCCTACAGGCCGGGCCCCGGCAAGCGGCGGGGCGGCCGCGGACCGTCGGCCTGGCCAGCGGCAGCGCTGATCGGCGGGGCGGCCGCGGACCGTCGACCCGACCCCAAGAGGGACGGACAGGGGACCGACCACGACGACGACGACGACGACGTCGAAGACGACGGCGACGACGACGAGAGCGAGAGAGAACGACAGCAGGGCCACGAATGGCACGAAGTAGGCCGCGAAGGGCGACAGCGGGGACACGCAGGGAATGTGTATGGGGCCACGAAGAGCGCGAACGAGCGGGGGCCACGAAGTGCACATAATGCGGAGCCACAGAAGGCAACTATGGGGCCACTGAGGGTAGCAACTGGGCCACGTAGGACAGTGAGGGGGACACACATGGCGACAGCGGGGCCACGAAGGGCATGCACATGGGGCCACAACGGGCGCGACTCCTGGGTGCGGGTGTCGGGAGCGCGGCGCTTGGGCAAATTGCAAGAAAAACCAACGCAAGGCCATTCTTCAGTTAGTTGTAAGCAAGTCTCCAGCGCGCGACTCCAGAGCGCCGGGAGAGCGATTCCTGAATAAATTGTAAGGAAGTCCCAAGCGAGAGCGCGATTCCTGAATAAAATGCGAGGAAGTCTCGGGCGGGAGCGGGGGTCTTGGCTAAATTGTAAGGAAGTCTCAAGCGGGAGCCGTTGCTGTAGCCCGGGGGCCAGGGGCCCAGTTTGAGCAGGAAGACTTTCTTTGTCAAAAAATTGGGTGCGAACGTCGAGGGGCACACTTTGATTGAGAAAAAACAGAATTCACCGGTGGGGGGGATCAACAATAATTATTCTTCAGAAATGAGACTTCAACAACAACAACAACAATTACTAGCACGTGGGGACACACCGTTCTCACCAGTGCCAGGGTTTTCATAGGAGGCGGGCACTACCCCCACTTTGTGGGGGGGCCGGTTCAAGCTCTACCAAATTTCCAAACGACTCTTCGCCACCACCCACACCCAGCTTCCCGCCCTATGACGTTCGGACACTTCACTTCGTGGCATGCGGACGACCGTGGCTACTATTCAGGGCCCCGCGGCCGACGACGACGGCGTGCGCGCGCGAAGAAAAAACGAATGTGTCCCGCATGGTATTATTTGACAGGGATGATGGCCCTGGCAGGTGCGCAACCGTTGTTGCAGAAGTTCGAAAAAGTTGCTCGCAAAAGCCCGTTTGACAGAAATGATTAAAAAGTGTTGGGTTTCCTACGAATCCGCAAGAGCGCGCGGGATGAAATTTTGACAATTTTTTGGAAAAACCATTGGTTTTTGATGTTTTTATGTTAAAATCGCTACGAAAACTAAGGTTTTGGAAGGATTTCGTCTTGCGCGCGCGAATGTCCACTTTACCTTATTTTTTGCAAGGGATTCTTGAAGTTTGGTTATGTTAGAACAAGAAATGTCCACTTTAGCTTATTTTTTGCAAGGGAAAACCGATCGTAACAACACAACCGGATCCGGACCCCCCGTTTTGCCTGAGACTTCCTCACGAAAATGATGAAAATGAGGCTGCGGCCTAGGCGCGGCGGGGGGGTCGTGCACCAGGGGTCCCAACAATAATTATTCTTTAGAAGTAATAATGTTCAACAACAACAGCAGCAGCAGCAGCAACAACAACAACACCACCACCAACAACAACAACACCAACACCAACACCAACAACAACAACAACAACAACAACAGCAGCAGCAACAACAACAACAACAACAACAACAACAACAACAACAACAACAACAACAACAACAACAATACCAGCAACAGCAGCAACAACAACAACACCAACAACAACCACAACCACAACCACAACCACAACAGCAGCAGCAGCAACAGCAGCAACAGCAACAGCAACAAATCAAACAACACAAACAAAAACTGCCCCCTTCCACTCCCTCCTCGGCGCGCCGCCGATCTCTGCCCTTGGTGCCAGACCGCTCGTCTGACCTCGGATGCCAGACAACTCCTCTGCCATCTCATCCCCGAGGATCGGCTGCCTGGGTTCCGCTGACGCCTCCCTGCCCAGTGGCTAGGGTGTTCGTGCAAGGAACCGATGTCAAGCTCCAGCCTTGCTCCCGACACCGCCACCGCGGAAAGCAAGCGGAGACCACGATGGTCTCTTGATCCTGGCCGTCCGCCACAGTTGGGCCGCTTGTGGCAGAGGGCGCCGCCGCACACGCACTCCCCAGCCATGACATGACTTGAGCACTGCGGGAAGGCCGACGGGAACCATCATCACGACCACGACGACGACGACGACGACGACGACGACGACGACGACGACGACGACGACGACGACGACGACGACGACGATTGATTCCGGTGTACCCGCATGCTGAGCGCAGATCCACCCTCGGTGCTCGAGGGGGGCCCTGGTGATACTCGGAGGGGCAAAAACACCCAGGGGGTCCGGATGCCTGGGCCCCTGCGGAGACTTCCGGAGACCTCCAGAGACCTCCTGGGGTCTGTCTCTTGGAGCCCTTGCTGGGGCCTCCTGGACCTCGTGAAGAGTGCCACAGGGGCCCAGGGGGCCTCTGGAAATCCTGGGGACTCCTGCGGCCAGGGACACGTGCTGCAACACCCGAAAGTGTCGAGATATCCCACGAAGTGGTCCTGTAGAATGGGCGGGATAGAGGGATGAGCGTCGAGTTCCGAGGAGGAGAGATGAAGAGGAGGTATGAATATTGAGCGTCGTGAATTATCTCACGAGGTGGTCGCGGAGAACGAGGGGTGAACACTGGGTGCAGTAATGGAAGTCCACCGGCGCTTCTCGGCGAGGTCTATCATGACGTCCCCGTCCAGGCGCGTGCTCGGCGCCTGAGACGCGGGGCACCTTCCTCCCGCACCCCTGCCGTCATCAAGCAATTAAGCCAAGCAGCTGTGGTGTCATATATATATATATATATATATATATACACACGCATATGCACACAGCCGTGACCAAAATCCGAACCTGGTAATTGATGGTTCGTAGTTTTGCACACCAGAAGCTGCAATTATAAGAACACACAGAAGCCCCACACCTGGCAACTGTTGCTTCTGCCACTCCAACATAACCACTACCACCACCTCCACCGCGCTCGGGATCGAAGTTGGCAGAAACGGAACGCAGAATTCCAAAAAGCACAATAGCCCCAATCACGGTTGGGCTGTTGCGTCGGGAACCGGGCTCTAGGAGACAGGAGCCTTTCAAGGAGCAGCAATCCGCCACCGTGCCTGCAAAGAGTTGGCGTGTTAGAGCCTGGGAACGGAAAGAGCGGGTCCGTGGAGCGGATGTTTCACACGGTCTCGGGGGATCGGCGGCCGTTTACGCGGCAGCGATTTGGATATAGGGATTGCCATGCATGCTTGTTGGAGCAAACTGGAGTGCGAGTCACGGTAGGACGGCCGCCGTGGCGATCGGAATTGTTATGTCACCGTCCGCTCCGAAGAGCCTTGGCGGTCAGAGTGTTTGACGGCACGTTTCGCTCTGGTGGGGCCTCTTAAGGGGCTCTTGGAGGCATCTCGGAGTGCCTCTTGAAAGCCTATTGGATTTTTTTGGGGCCGCTTCGGGGGCCTTCTGGGGCCCTCTTGGACCGTCTTGGGGGGCTTGGGCCAGCTTGGGCCGCTCTTGGGCCCCTCTTGTGAGCCTCCTGCGGCTCCATTGGGGCCTGGGAAGCTCTTGGGCCTCTGTGGGGCCCTCCTTTCCTTGGCCCTCTTGGACCGTCTTGGGGGGCTTGGGCTGGCTTGGGCCGCTCACGGGGCCCTCTTGTAAGCCTCCTGTGGCTCCCGTGGGGCTCACCTGGGATGCTCTTGGGCCTCTGTGGGGCCCTCCTTGGCTCGTCTTGAAGCTCTCCTGGGCCGTCTTGAGGCGCTCGTGGACCGTTTGGGAGCATCTGGGGACGTTTTGGGGCAACCTTGGAGGCCCCCAAGGGCCGTGTTTGGCCGTTTTTGACAAGAAAAAGCGAGAACCCCCACATCCTCCAAAAACTGTAGGGAAATCAATGGGTTTTGCCTCGGGCGTCCCTCTTGGAAGTCCTCGTGGGAGCCTCTTGGGCCGTCTGGTGGGCCTCTTGGACCGTCGTGGGGCCATCTTCGCCCCTTTTGGAGCGCTCTTGGGCTGTCTTGGGGCCTCTTGGACGTCTCTTGGGCCGTCTTGGAGGTATCTTAAGCCGTGTTGGGGGCCTCGTGGGGGTCTCTTGGACCGTCCTGGGCTGACAAAGCAGCCAACATGGCCCCCGGAAGGCGTGTAAGAAAATTGACCTCCGCCACGCCCCCCCCAAAAGCCCCACCATTGGGGCTAAAGCCCTATACAGAGCTTCTCTCGCTAGCGCTCTTCCCGTCATGCTAGTCTGTTGTGATGCTTGTGAGTTTTTTGTATGTTCTAGCCCCACCCCCTACTCGCGCGCGTCGTCCTGAGATCGCCCCCCCTAAACTTGCTCTCCGGCGCCTCTTTCGGCCTCCAAGACGGCCAAGTTGGCCTCCAAGACAGCTTCCAAGGCGGCCAAGGCGACACCATAACGGCCCAAGATGGCCCAAGACGGTCAAGACAGATCAAGAGGCCCCAAGACGGCCCAAGAGGGCTGCACGAGGCCCCCCCAGGAGAGCCCGAGGATGCAACAACTGATGTTCCTTAGGTGTTTGCAGGACGTTGAGCTTCTCGCCCGTTTGGGTTTCTGGCCGCCCAAGACGGTCCAAGAGGCCTCCAAGATAGCTCCAAGACCCAAGAGGTTCCCAAGAGGGCCCCAGGTCGACCCAAAAAGACCCAAAGATCGTCCAAGGGGCTCCCAAGCCAAGAGGGCTAAGACGGCCCTGAAGAGCTCCAAGAGGGCACCACGGCAGCCCAGTGAGGCCCCCGAGACGGCATCTGAAGACGTCAAGCGGTCCAAAAGTTCCCTAAGACGGCCCCCAACAAGCCCCAAGAGGCTCCCAAGAGGCCCCAGGAGGCCTCCCAAGAGGCCCCAAGAGGCCCTCAGGAGGCTCCGAGGAGGCCCCAAGGGAGCCCCAAGAAGTCTTCCCCATCCTCGTCAAAGTGAGGGGGCCGAACGGTCATTCATTGTCCCTGGATGCGTGGCTGAAGTGGGTATCCGTGGTGAGGATCCTGTTTGTTGCGTTGTTGTTGTTGCTGCTACTGCTGTTATTGTTGTTGTTGTTGTCCTTGTTGTTGTCCTTGTTGTCCTTGTTGTTGTTGTTGTTGTTGTGATTGTTGTTTGTTGTCGTCGTCCCACCCTCGACCCACCCGCGACCTACTTGCGACCCACCCGCGGCCCACCCCGCGGCCCACCCGCGACCCACCCCGCGACCCACCCCGCGACCCACCCGCGACCTACCTGCATTGGTTTAACGAAAAGATCGGCGCCTGCGGCGGGTTCTGTGTATACTTTGTGCAACTTTGGCGCCTGCGGCGGGCTTCCCCAGAGTCTCACAAACTGCCGACGTCCCCACCACCACCTCACTCTTATCCGCATCTGCCAGGTGCTACGGTACTTATATTTTCTCCTCCTCCTCCACCTCCTCCTCCTCCTCCTCCTCCTCCTCCTCCTCCTCCCACTCCCCCTCCCCCTCCCCCTCTCCCTCCTCCTCCTACTCCTCCTCCTCCTGAAATGCCGCGCGGACGAAGACAAGGTCGAGATCACGACCCTCCCCAATCCAGACGAATCGCTGAATTGCCGCGGAGGGTGAATTGGACATCTTTCCTACCGCTCGGACGAAGGCGAGGTCGACTTCACGACCCGTCCCAATGCAGACCACTCGTCGGAATTGCGTTGTTCCTACACTCAGCCTCCAGACTGCTGCGCTGCTGCACAAGCACGGCGGCTGGGCTTGCCGCAGGCAGCTGGATACCACAATACCCTATACCTGCCCCGTAGTGCTTCGGTGCGCGTGTCGCTGTCTCGGCCTCTGGCGCCGCGTCGAGGCTTCACAGAACCAATGGCTTGATCGTTTGTCAGCGGACCGCTGGGACACTCAGCCGGCCGGTCGACACTTGCACCTCTGATGCGAGTTCGCCCTCGAGAGGTGGAGCGGCGAACCACAGGCGTTCAACCCGCGGACCCCCCGAGAACCCCTGCTGCTTCGCGCGCCTTCCCTTCGGCGATCTTTCCGGCGGTCGCCCCCACGCCCTGCCCAATCCCTCGCTCGCTCCTCGCTCCCCGTCGCCCTCGCGACTCCCCCCTCGACTGGCCAGGCCTCGGCAGAGGATTTGCGCGCGCTGGAAAAGCACTGCGTGTCCACGGTGGTGCGGCGGCAGACCACGTCGCCATCACGCGAAGCCTCCTGCGAATGCCGCAAGAAGGTGCGAGCCCTCCTTTGCCTCTTCCTCCTCCTACTAATCCTCAGCCGCCTCCTCCTCCTCCTCCTCCTCCTCCTCCTCCTCCTCCTCCTCCTCCTCCGCACCCTCCTCCTCCTCCTCCTCCTCCTCCGCATCCTCCTCGTCCTGCTCAGCCAGGCTAGGCAGGATGTAAAGTGTGGAGGGCGACGGGACGGGTCAAGAATGGTTCGCCCCATCGCCAGGCGACGGGCCACGAAAATAACCCGCCGCCCAGAACCACGCTCCTCATTCCTCGCCCCCCCGGGCTAGCGTGCCTGCTCCTTCTCCCTCCTCCTCCTCCTCCTCCTCCTCCTCCTCCTCCTCCTCCTCCTCCTCCTCCTCCCTCCTCCTCCTCCTCTCCTCCCTCCTCCTCCTCCTCCTCCCCTCCTCCTCCTCCTCCTCCCCTCCTCCCCCTCCTCCTCCTCCTCCTCCTCCTCCTCCTCCTCCTCCCCTCCTCCTCCTCCTCCCTCTCCTCCTCCTCCTCCTCCTCCTCCTCCTCCTCCCTCCTCCTCCTCCTCCTCCTCCTCCTCCTCCTCCTCCTCCTCCTCCTCCTCCTCTTACCTCTTACCTCTTGCCTGCCTTGGGGGATGAGTCCATTGAGGTACCTCTCTAGAGGAAGAAATTCCTGGGCCAACTCCATCCACAGTTGTCACCACAGGAACCAGGGGCGATATCTGGAACCTGAGGCCGCGACAGGAGGTGGACCCAGGCTTCTGATCATTCAGGCCAAGCCTTAAGATCAGGAGGAAGTTTCCCAACCATCAGAGCCCTCCCCACCCTCCTCCTATGATCTGTGAGGCCAGGTACACACGTTCGCCCCAATTTCAACAATTTGCCTCTTGAGGGAACCCTTGAACCTCCACAGCGCTGGCACCAAAACACGCCCCTGTAAGCTTCCAGCTTATGGGAGGGGTGGATGGAGGTGGGCTGGCCTGGGCAGGGCGACCGAAGGAAAGCCTCTCGCTCGCCTCGATCGGACTGAAAACACACAGTGCAGCGCCAGGAAGCTCGCCCCCTCTGCTCAACGGCGTGAGACGACTGAGACACGAGGAGGGCCAGTTGCGCTTCCTTTTCCTGACGCAAGGCCGCAAGGGAACTCTTGGCCTCCTCCTGGCGGTTGCCCTTGGACGCTGCTCCATAAAGGGTAGGGGCCTGCTGAACTAGGGCCATGGACACCGCCAAAATGGAGTCGAGAACTTTGTGACACAAATTATCTGATTCTGCAACCTGAAGCCTCGCATAAAACGGGATCTGGGCCATCTCAGCTCCTTTCTCAGCAGCCTTATCCGCCAGACTATTAGCCTGCCAGTGGACTGGGTCGAAGCCTAGGGTGACTGCACCCTCGTGAGAAAGGTGAGAACGGATCTTGTGCACAGTGATCGGACGCACACCAACTGCGCGCCAGAAGTCCTTCCACATCGAAAGCATCTTTTTGTGACTGAAACGGGGCCCAGCGCGAATTCCCCGCACGACACCTTCATTATCTATCGCGCACTCTATGGGGCCTGTAGTGAGCTGAGCCGCGCGAGTGATAGCATGCAGTTCAGCAGCAGGCACTGTCTGGTTATCGCGCGGCGGAGGGCAAAGCCCCGACGCTACATGCTGGGCGCCTCGCAAGACGGCACAGCTCCAGCCGCATCTCCTCAGCCGAGGATCCGAACCCTCCTCACCCCCAGCCCCATCCGACCCGATCACACACCCCTGGTCAAGCTCATAAGGATTAGCCACCAGCTGGTCCGAGAGCTTCCCTTCTCCCTGGGTCGGGACACACACATGCTGGTACGTCCAGGCCAGGGGAGGCAGACCTCGGAACCAGAAAGACGGGGCGTCTCCCGACTCGGCTTCCGCCTGCCTCCTCAGGGAAGCGTTGAAACCTGGGATGGGGTCATTCAGAGGGCAACTCCAGAGCTGGTGGAGAAGGGCCCCTTGAGGCGCTCCACACCGAGGGCAAGAAGGAGATGGCCAGTCTGGGTTGGGCCCAAGGATGGGCTCGTCATCGCTCAAGCCACAGTGCAAATCCTCTTGAAATTGAAATTCGTCTGCCGCGTGCGACGCCTCATCTAGCGTCGCATCGAAGTCACATTCCCCCTCGCCAAGCCAAGCGAGGTTCGCGGAGGATCTGAGGGGGGGGGAGCTTCATCGGGGGCCTGGGGCCTCGGGAAAGGCCCCCTAGCCTCTTCCCCAAAACGCCGCGAGGCGGGCCACAAGGCCCCCGACAAAACCATTTCTAAAACACCAGCCTTGTCGTAGGCTCCCGAGGTTCTAAGTTGGTTCAACCTCCGAAGCGGCGCAAACATGTCAGCTCGACCTGCCAAACTGCTGCCGTGATAATGTCCACTTGCTTTTTTTTCCACGCCAGAGCATCACACGCCTCCCGCAAATCAACCGTGAGACGCTCTGGGTCACAGGCGAACACATGGAAAACCTCACGATCCGTTCCAATGCAATTGGTGGGGTCCTGCGGCGTCCAGCCTGCTTCCAGCAAGCAGGCAACCGTGGCGGCCACAAAGCCTGACACTCGCTTCCAGTGGGTGGCTGGGCCCTGCAGTCGGGCTAGCTCTTGTCCCCACGCTTTGCGGAGACCATGCTGGTTAGCCTCCTGCAGGCTCGGAAGCATGTGAATCCACTCCTTCAAAACTCGCATTCTGGTCGGGATCATGGGGTCATGGTGGGGGCCCTGGAAAGCACAACGCATAACCGTGGTAGCACACCCCCCATCTCTTCTCCCCACCATGCCCGCCATGGCCGCTCTGGCCTTTTTAAGGCCAGGGTCGGACTTACTCCTTGGGCCCCCAGGCCCCAAAGCGCCTGGGCGGTCCACCCAGTCCGCGCTAACATCCTACAACGACGGTCCGTCTTCGCAACTCGTTTGATCATGCTCGCTCGATGGCTGGCTGCCTGAGACCGCTGCTTGGGTACTGCTACTGAGCGTCTCACACCTACAGTGCCAATGCCAAGGCCCTCGCCCGTCGTGCACCCCTTCAACGAGAAACCGCGCCGAGCCAATTATGCGAGGACCTCCTTGGCCAGGGCAGGGGGGTTGGAAAGGACCTGGCTGTTGGCCGAAATCTTGAAACCTGAATTGATTAGGGCGGTGCCTATGCCCTCACTGGCCTCAACAGCCTGTTTCACTATAACCTCAGCCTTGCCCGTATGCCGCTGGCTCAGGTTATCCACCCAAGTCTCCAGGGCCAGGGTGCGAAAACGGGCATGTGCGTCCTCCAGGATATCCCAGAGAGCCACCTTCGAGATGCCAACGCTCTGATAACAGCCTGCCAGGAGGCTCCTGGGTGGGCACAAAGCCTGGGGGATGGCACCTGAAGCGCGGAGGCGCCGCGGGGCCCTGTGCATATCTAGTGCCAGGAACAAAGGCATGAGAGGGTAGTCCACGCCAGCTGCCATGTCTACTACTGAACGCAAATCTACATGGTCATAGAACTTCTCGGGGTCCCATAGGATCTGGAGCCAACTGAAACCCATCGCCGCTGCGATCCCACACTGGGTCTGCCGAAGTATGGCAGCCCGCAGAGCCGAAGAATCCCTCGCCGCCCGATCCCAGTACTGAGCCCGCTCCACCGCCCAGTTCGAAATATCTTGCCGACGCGCTCTGCCCCAGACTCGGTAAAAAGGCCCTGGGTTAGCGCTATCGGTCGGTCTGCAACTACACTTTTAAAGAATAGCTGGGCGCTGATGCGCCTGACCTGGGGGGGGGGGGGGGGGGCAGGCGAGCTCTGCTTCTACTAGCCTAAGGAGGTCCACGAGCTCTTGGAGGGCCTCGGGTGGAAGCTGCAACCAATCACGCGGGTTCTGAAAGTCAGCTCCTTGCCCAACCACAGGTTTGAAACATTTGAGAGCATGCGCGACTTGGTGACTGGAAAGGGGTTCCCGCGACTGGGCATCCCGAGAAGCTCTGGCCCTAAAATCTCCCCACCAAGTGGGCTCAGTTCCCCTCGGACCAGAGAGCCAAAGGCCCCCCCCAGAGTTCCGCTTTTGACGCAAGGGACTCGGCGGGGTCGTGCAAGACTCGGCCATTCAGGTCGTGCTCGAGGCTGAGGCTCGGCGCCTCCACGCCCCAAGTCTTGGTGTGAAAATGAATGGCGCCGCCCCCCTGAGTGAGGGAATGTCGCGGCCAGTCCTTAAATCCTCTGGATGATTGCCGAGTGAAGTGGGCTTCAACCCGCCTCAGAATCCGAAAAAGCTTCCTGTGGGCAGCCTCCAGGGTCTCCCTAGAAGCCTGACCCCCAAGCAGGCCCAGAGCCGAGAGCACCTCTTCCTCCTTCCTCTCTTCTAGAAGCCTCGGCAGCTTCTGTACTCTGGCCAAGGCAAGATTGAATTCAGCTACTGCTTTGCCTATGGGCTTCGACTTCCTGGCAAGTCCGACCCAAGCCCTGGGACGCGCGTGTAAGGCCGCCCAGACAGAAAGGTTGGAAGCTTCCGCAATCCATCCCTGTGGCTTTGTCTCTACAAGGGGAACCTGCTGCACATCTATCTTGGGAGTGAGTGTCGGAGCGCCAGTCGTCAGCACGGCTTCCACATCGCCCTCAATCCCGTCAGAGGTCCGCTGGCCCTCATCTCGAGGAAGGCCCAGCAGGTCCTTCATTTCATTTTTCATCCTGCGCAGCTCCTCCCAGTGGCGGCGGAGGGCCCAGCGCAGCATCTCCATGTCATGCTCCGCAGCCCAATGGGAGAAACCAAGGATGTTCACACGATTATCAGCTCCATCATGTCAGGACTCCGTGCAGATGTCTTCGCCATCTGGTCTACGGTCATCTCCTGGCGAGCCTCCCGCGCCCAGTCAAGGTCCCAGGCCTGCAGGAGCAGCTCCCTGACGTAGGGCTTGCACCATCTCATCCAGCTGGCCGCTCCTGACTCGGGCGAATGCAGACGCGGAATCCATCTGGCTGCCGACTCCGCGATGCCATCATAGAAGACCGCCCCAGGCCCATCCTCGTCGACGACCTCCGGCGGCGGCAGCCCCATGGAGCCAGGGGCGGGCCGATCTGCATCGCCCCGCGCTGCTGGGCCAGCTCGATCTCCAGCAGCGCGCCTTCGTGAGGGGCTGGCCCCCTCAGGCTGTCGCAGTAGCCTGAGGGGGCGACGGGCGGCAAATCATGGCAGTCCGCTGCTTGAGCCCCTCGCCTTCCGTAGCTCCTGCCACTGGCGTCCCAGGCGCTGGCTCTGAAGCGGCCGCAGCAGCTGCAGCGCTATCTCCTTCAGGCTGCCCAGCGGCGGGACCAGGCTTGGGTTCGTCACCAGGAGCGGCCCCGCCTCCCTCCTGACGTCTGCGCTTGCCTGCAAGGCGCTGTGCCATCTGCTCCTGCTCGGTCTTGAAAGCCTTGGCCTTCTCTGCCGCCTGCCCGAACGTGGCTCGGACCGCCGCCGACAGCTCAGACTGCAGTCTCGCTGTGCGGTCAGCCAGCTCGCGCTTGTCAGCCTCCTCCATATCATATTCTGCATCATCGAAGCCCGGGCCCGCGAAAGACAGAGGGATCGACTCGATCGTGCCGTCCAAGATGCCCGCCACGCTGAGCGCCTGGGGCTGGGCGTCCTGCTGCGGCGGTACAAACTTCGCATTGAGCTCCACCGCCAGCCTGCGGTGCGCCGCCTCGCGCTCCTCGAGTTCGTCCGAAAGCTGCTGCACCCACTGGCGCTGGTGCTCGAGCCCCTCCGAGAGGCGCTCGAAGTGCGCCACAGCCTTCTCCAACTTCTGATTGACTTCCGCCACCTGCTTGTGGGCCAGGGTGACCCGCTGGGACAATGGTGCGACGTACTCCTTCTCAGCCGCTTTGCGCTTCTTCTCAACGAAAACCCTCCTGTGCTTCGCCGCCGTGGCTGTGTCGCCAGCTCGTTCCAACATCGCCACCAGCTGCTCCAGGCCGTTGATCTCCATGTCAGTGTTCGCTTCCTTAGGCTGGGCCACCAGGAACTGGGCCCCTGGCGCACGAGGCAAGGCTGGGCCTCCTCCACTCGCGTCGTCCTGACCCTTGCCCTTGCCCTTTCGCCCCTTGCCCTTCTTGCCGCCCTTGCCAACATCATCTTGGTGTGGTTGGCCAGCATCGCCCCAGACTCCTCTAGGTTCTGGTGCTGCTGCAGGGGACAGGTCGGACAGCTTGTGGCCGCATGCTTTGCAGTAGAAGCTCCCTCGAAAATTATTCTTGCACCCGCACTTGGCACAGGCCGGTGCCCTTCCAACTTCTTTCCAACCTTCGTAGTCGCCAGGGCCCATGCCTCTCCATTCGCGCCATTGCCCCCCCCAGGGAGGGGGAACAGTCTTGTGCCACGGCGGGCGCCCTGCTGGACCGACCGCGGGAGGAGCCATGGGAGTAACAGGAGGCAGAAACTGGACAGACTCAGAAACTTCGTCGTCCTCCTCAAAGGAGTTGTTCCAGCAGGAGCTCACACAAGAAACCTGATCCAGTTGCCTGGTGCAGGATCACTGGCGGGGGCGCGCCTCCCCCACGCCAAAGAGGCCAAGTGCATGAGCCGAATGGCTACGGACTTGAGCCAAAATGGCTACGGCCTCCTCCTCCTCCTCCTCCTCCTCCTCCTCCCTCCCTTCGCTATTTGTCATCTGCCCTTCTCCCCCTCCTGCTTCAATTTTTCTCGTGCTGTTCCTCCGCCTCCGCCTCCTCTTCATTCTCAGGTTGTGTTTGGCCATGTTCGAGGTGAACCCGACCGTGGCGATGTAAGCGCCCTGCGCAAAACAGCACAAACACACAGAAAACCATACGTCAGCGTCGAGCTTCCAATCTGGCTCCTCCATCGACGACGGAGGAGGCGAAGGGGGATGGGAAGCAGCGCGCGGGCACCCAGGACTACCCCAGGAAGGCGCGCAATATGCCCCCGAAAGGAGCCCAGGGCAACCCAGATGAGGCTGAAAAGCACGAAGGACAGACTGCAGGGGAACTGCGAAAGAGACCAGAAGTTGTGATTGCAAGCGCCCAGGAATTGCTTCATGAACGCGCGCGCAGGGTAGCCACGAAGAAGACCCAAGGCAGCCTGAGGGGAAATGTCCGAGAGCCGCTAACAGAGCATGGTAACGCCATGCTAAAGTATCTTCGGATGCCTTTTAGGGGGCATTCTGGGAAGGCTCTTTGATAAGTTGCTTCAGGGCTGGACCTAAACGGTGTTTTTCGTTTTCGTGTTGTTTTCGTTTTCCCTCGGTGTGTCTTCAATCCGCCGTCTGAATACGAGGAAGTCCTGCGCGAGAACACGATGTGGGAATACATTGCGAGAAAGTATCGGGCGGGTGTCGTTCTTGTTGTAGTTCGGGGGCCAAAAAGACAATTTGGTGACCGTTCGGTTCCCTTGCAAAAAAACAGGGTGCGAGCCCCGGAAGAAACACTTAATTGAAAACGTACCATAAACCCAATGGTTACCAGACAGGGGGATCCACGACTCTTGTTCTTCAGAAATGAGAACTCAACAACAAGAGCAACAGCAACAACAACAACAACAACAACAATTACTAGCACGTGGGGACACTCCGTTCTCACCAGTGCCAGGGTTTTCATAGGAGGCGGGCAATACCCCCACTTTGTGGGGGGGCCGGTTCAAGCTCTACCAAATTTCCAAACGACTCTTCGCCACCACCCACACCCAGCTTCCCGCCCTATGACGTTCGGACACTTCACTTCGTGGCATGCGGACGACCGTGGCTACTATTCAGGGCCCCGCGGCCGACGACGACGGCGTGCGCGCGCGAAGAAAAAACGAATGTGTCCCGCATGGTATTATTTGACAGGGATGATGGCCCTGGCAGGTGCGCAACCGTTGTCGCAGAAGTTCGAAAAAGTTGCTCGCAAAAGCCCGTTTGACAGAAATGTTTAAAAAGTGTTGGGTTTCCTACGAATCCGCAAGAGCGCGCGGGATGAGATTTTGACAATTTTTTGTTGAAAAACCATTGGTTTTTTGATGTTTTTATGTTAAAATCGCTGCGAACACTAAGGTTTTGGAAGGATTTCGTCTTGCGCGCGCGAATGTCCACTTTACCTTATTTTTTGCAAGGGATTCTTGAAATTTGATTATATTAGAACAAGAAATGTCATTTTCTATTGTTTTTTGCAAGGGAAAGCGGATTACAACAAAACAACCGGATCCTGTACACACCCTCTTTTCTGAGGCTTCCTCACGAAAATGATGAAAATGTAGCTGCGGCCTAGGCGGCGCAGGGGGGGCGCGCACCAGGGGGCCCAACAATAATTATTCTTTAGAATAAATAATGTTCAACACCAACCACAACACTAAGTTTAAGACTGGCCGCTCTTATTCGTTCACGTGCCACTTTACACGTATATCTCGAACCCTCGATACCCGCCCCCGTCGCCTTCGATCGCAACCCCCTTTGTGGTATATCTTTCGGACCTGCAACGTGTATTTTGTGGAGCCCCGAAGGCAGGGGAAGAGAGGACGGATGAAGGAAGGAACAAAGCGGGAGGGAGGAATATGGAGCACGAGGGAAAGAGAGTAGCAAGAGAGGGGGCTAGAAGCAGAAAGCACGTGGCAAACCCAGACGGGCAAATTGGGCGGATAGACCCTAACGGGCGGGTCGGGAAGGCGGCCCAGGCGGCCAGGTCGAGCAGGCGGGTTGCTGAAGCGATCACGAGCAACAGCGCGATTGCCACAAAAATCGTGAGAAATCCAAAGCGAGAGCGTGATTCCTGAGTGGGCGCGGCGTCTGAACAAATTGAAAGGAGGTCCCACGCGAGAGCGCGATTTCTGCATAAGTTGTAAAGGAAGTCCCGCGCGAGAACACGATGTGGGAATAGATTGCGAGGAAGTACCAGACGGGAACCGTTGTTGTTGTCGTTGTTGTTGCTGTTGTTGTAAACTGGAAGCCAAAGACACGATTCTGAGACCGACGACTTTCTCTTGTAAAAAACAAGGTTCGAGCCCCAGGAAGGGAGGTTACCTCAATGGAAAAACACAATATGCCCCAGAGGGGGGATCACCAGTAATTATTTTCAGTGATGAAAGCTCCACAACAGCACACCAACAACATCAACAATGCCAACAACACCAACACCACCAACATCAACAATCACGTTAAGACTGATCGCTCTTATCTGCTAGCAGGCCAATCAACACGTATATCTCAAATTTTAGATACCCGCCCTCTTCGTCTTCGTCTTCGATCGTACCCCTTAGGGGTATATCTGAACAACAACAACAACACCAACAACAACAACAACACCAATCATTTTACCCGAACGCGTGGTGTTCTCCCCAGTGCCAGGGTTTTCATACGACACCAGGCAATACCCCCACTTCGTGGGGGGGCATTACAAGCTCTACCAAATATCCAAACGACTCTTCGCGACCACCCAAACCCAGCTTCCCGCCCTATGACGTTGGGACACTTCACTTCGTGGCGTGCGGACGACCGTGGCTACTACACTGGCGTGGGGTACACACCCACAGAACTTGGTCACTTATTCGGGGCGCGCATGTGCCCAGCATGGTGCAATTGTGCCATACAATACATAATACAGAGAGACAGAGAGAGAGAGAGACTGAGAGCAGACAGAGAGAGAGACAGAGAGAGCGGAGTTGGTCACATTTTTGGGTCAAGTTCCTGGGATGATGGGTCAAGTTCCTGCTCTTGGGGCCTCTTGAAGGCCTCCTGGGGCAACCTATGGCGCAACCAGTAGGGGGACGTTTTATTCTCAGCGGCCGAGGGCGCAACCTATGGCGCAACCAATAGGGGGGCGTTTTATTCTCGGCGGCCGAAGGCGCAACCTATGGCGCAACCGCAAGGGATTATGGCCCCTGGCAGGCGCGCGAACCCCGTTGCAAGAGCGTGCGAAAGTAGCTCGCGCGAGCTCATGTAACATAAATGTTGGAAAACCATTGGTTGTTTTAGGATTCGGACAGCGCGCGCGGGTGGAAATTTTGAAAAGTCGTGCAGGTGTTTTTCGAGGACCTACGGTGCGATTCGTGTGATTTTATGATGCGCGGTGCTAAAATTCTTAAGAACCCAATGGTTTTTGGAGATTTCGGCGTGCGCGCGCGAAGAAAAAACGAATGTGTCCCGCATGGTATTATTTGACAGGGATGATGGCCCTGGCAGGTGCGCAACCGTTGTCGCAGAAGTTCGAAAAAGTTGCTCGCAAAAGCCCGTTTGACAGAAATGTTTAAAAAGTGTTGGTTTCCTACGAATCCGCAAGAGCGCGCGGGATGAGATTTTGACATTTTTTTGTTGAAAAACCATTGGTTTTTTGATGTTTTTATGTTAAAATCGCTCCGAACACTAAGCTTTTGGAAGGATTTCGTCTTGCGCGCGCGAATGTCCACTTTACCTTATTTTTTGCAAGGGATTCTTGAAATTTGATTATATTAGAACAAGAAATGTCATTTTATAGTGTTTTTTGCAAGGGAAAACGGATTACAACAAAACAACCGGATCTGGACCCCATCCACTTTTCTGAAGCTTTCGCGAAAAAATGATGAAAATGTAGCTGCGGCCTAGGCGCGGCGGGGGGGCCGTGCACCAGGGGTCCCAACAATAATTATTCTTTAGAATTAATAATGTTCAACACCAACAACAACAACACCAACACCAACACCAACGACAACGACAACGACAACGACGACAACAACAACAACAACGACCACAACAACAATCCGAACCGTGGAACTCCACTTCAGTCACGCACCCAGAGACAGAGAATGACCGTTCGGCCGCTCACTCGGATCATGACGATGATGATCGGTGTCAATACGCCGCCCTGACGGCCGGGCGGGGGACCACATCAAAACTACGGGCGCAGCGATGCAGTACAGGTCCAACCCGTAGCGGGAGGTGCGGACTGAGGTCCGAAAGATGCGCCCGCTCGCTTGCTGTCCGTGCGAGTGCTGATCAGTCCGATGCTGCGTGAGCGGCTTCGCTTGGGGCATGTAGAGAGGAGGGGGAGAAGGGGGAGAGAGAGGAGGTGCAGCGGGAGGAGCGCTCCCCGAGACCAGCCAGAGACGCACGGCTCAGATGATGACCCGCACCACGTTGTTTCCACGTCGATGGGCAAGCTGAGAAGCAGCCCTTAAGACCCGCATTCCGCGAAGGCAGGAGTATCCAGACACCTACTGACGCATCAGAGGATTCGTGCCGCCGTCGTCCTCATCCCCAGAGGCCGCGCATGGATTGTCTGCGGCATTGTTGAACCCAGCGTCCTCGATTTCCGCGGCCTTCGCGTCCTTCGTGACTTCGCCCTCGATGTAGATCCGGTTCTGGCCGATCTCGATCCTGCTGTGGGCGAGGCCCATGTCCTTGCCGAGCGACATCAGGTTCCACACCTGCATCGGATTCAGCAGGCCGAAGTACTTGAGGACCGTCGACAGCAGGCCTCGAACACCTAGCGCCGTCACCGCAGTCACTGCCTTTGAAGACCAGCTGGAACCAGTGTGCAGCGTGCCCACGTGAGTCAGCTTGACCTTGGCCTTGTTGGGCCGTAGGCACAGGTATCGCTCCTTGGCAACGTCCACGCCGGCGTCCAAGTCGACGCCAAACTTGATTCTCGCCGCTTGCTTGTCGAGTTC